TTTTTTTTTTTTTTTTTTTTTTTTTTTTTTGGTTTTTTTGAGACAGGATCGCACAATGCAGTTGAGACTGACTAGAACTCACTATGTAGCTGAGGCTGGTCTCAAACTCACAGCAATCCTCCTGCCTCAGCCTCCCAAGTGGTGGGATTACAGGCATGCACCACCATGCCCGGCTATTGAGAGCACATTTAATGAAGAGTAAAACTTCAAACCTAGATTATATAATTCAAAAAAAATCTACCAAAACCTATTGCTAAGGACAAAGCAAAACAAACGTGAAATAGAATCCACGTGCATTTGTTTATGAGAGAGATAATGTATATGTCTGTTATCAGTGCCTTTCAAATTCAGACTCTACATTGAACTCCATTTTTTCTTGAATCACATATTCTTACTTTCCCTGGTTCTAATGCACCTTCCTCAGGTAATTTAATGACACAGGCTGGTTTCTTTTCTTGAATTCCCTAAATTAACTTTTACCTCCAAAATATTCCATCTTCAAAATATTACCCAGTGGTAGCAATGAGCAGTTTCAGATCTTGACATGAGTAACTGCATGAAATATAAATATCTTGATATTTTAATGAGAAAGTTGAGTGGATTAATTTATATGCTGATGAGACAGTAGTGGATGGAAAACTGGAGTCACACTGTCTGCATCTGAGTCCAGGTGAAATTGGCTCATTTTATGAACTAAACATGATGTTTCCTTTTCTTCCTTTTTGGGATCTCCCATTTCAGTTCTTGTGCATGTTTTCGGGCTCTTCTCTTAATCTTCTGCGTTGGTATAGCATGGGATGTTGTATGGGAAATGCCTGACCCACTGACTGGCAGGTACCGAGGGTTACTGCCTGTGTTAATAAATATGCATCAGGAATAGTCGTGAAGATGTTTGGTACTTGTGTGCTTGAGAAGTGAATCCCATGTATGACCTTATCAAAGCGATTTTTCAGTCGCACCATAGGCTGCATACCTTCCACGACCTTCCTCTTGTGATATGCCAAAGAGAATGTAAAAGAAGATAGTTGGTTAAGTTTTTAAATCGTATTGTTTGGATTTTAAATCAAGCAGCCTCCTTACTAACTATGGGGATAAGTAACACAATAAGTTAAAGTATTTCACTGTTAGTAAAATAAAGATAATACTATTACCTATATCGTAGTGATGAAGACAATATTAATGAGTCCTTATAAAATTTGAAGCTATGCATAGCACACAATAATTGTTAATAATTACTGTGATCATTACTTAGACTAGCTTTTCCCTGACTGTGTCCTGTGAGGACCAATCTCATGGAATGTTAATACAGTATTTATGAAAAAACAAAGGGATGAAAATTTTTTTTTAATTCTGGGTTCAGCAGATTTATTGACACTGTTAAATATGCCTTTTCAAAGATATTTTTCAGAAATTTCTTCAGAAATCTCCATGGAGTAACTAACACAGGATACTAGCATGTCAGGAAGATCATAAATACTGAGCTCTAACAATAATCTTATTTAGTACTCTCTCAGCACACCAAATGCCCATTTGAAATCATCCATCCTTTTGTCTTTGTTTCCTCTCAGCACTCTTACTGTTAGTTTTCTTTTTAAATTATCCTCCTTTTTCCATTTTTCAATGAATCTGACTCTCCTTCTTCATCCAATCCCTCAACCTTATTGTATTGCATATCATATAACAGAATGAACAGCAAAATTCATCTGACAGGGAAAGCTGTTTAGCATAATTCTTGATAATAGCTTTCCCATAGCAAATGGCCTCTGCTACAAGGTCAATGACCCATCACTTTTCCCATACCATTGTGAACCCACCAAATGGGATGACAATGCTGACAGCTGGTCAAACTGATCACTAGACATATGGATGTGAAAATACCCACAAAATAGCTAGGCTTTCAAAGTACAAAAAGAAAAGAGTAAGCAGGTCAACATTCAGAAGGCTGTAACAATGCTATTTTCTCCTTCTCATACCATTCCCACCCCTATCCAGTCAATCATCACGTTCTGACAATACCATCCTCTTAATATCTCTTACATATGTACACATATATTCATCCCTACTGCAACACTGCAATTCAGACCACCAAAACTCTCCCTAGTCACAAAATCTTACTCAGAATTTGTGCCAAAAATATACTCCTCTGGACATATGGCGTCCTTTGGACCCAAGGGCAGAAACTGTGTCTACCTTCTTCAAAACTATGCTTTCAGTATTTAGTATTTGTGAAGTTCCTGATAAATACTGTTAATTGAATGTAATGTTTTACCTGTGCTATAGCCATATAAGTAACTATAATCATTACACACATGACTCTACACCATACTCAGAGAAAAACACAACAGTCTTCAGCAGAGTATTTAAAAACACCCATAACAGGGGATTAAAAAAAAAAACATTTCCAGTTACTTATATTTCTAATCTTATTATTGCGCAATTTCTTCCCATCTCTTTATCTTCAGACACTCATAGTCTACATGTTAATTCTAATAAATTTTCTTATGGCTTCCAGATAATTCTGACCTCCATGAAACCAGACACTTACTAACCATTCATTCTATGCCCACTCACTTTTCAAAATGGCTAACTTCTATTCACTGGTCATGGAACAGGTTAGTATTTCTCCTACAGGATTTCTTCAAAATGATATTGAGTGTCTTTGTGCACAACAGTCACTTGCTGAATTGTATTATAATCCATTTGTTTATTACATGAGATTCCTAAGGCTAGGGACAGTGACCCACACACTTGTGAATGTATATGGGCTGATCGGAGGGCCAGCCAAATAGCTGTGGAGAGTCGGATTTATTGAAGATGGTGGTGTCTACAGCCAGATACATTGTATAGTTATCAACACAAGGAAGTATCAAGTGTTTAGTTTGAAATTAGGACCAACAGGAAGAAAATAAGAAAGATAATAAAACTAGGCAAACACAAAGAAGAAAATGACAGAGTTCAATTTTGAATTTCTTTCCAATATGTAAATAAGTATCAAGTTGAACAAAATGTAATATAATGGAGTGATCAATAATCTTTTGGAAAATGGGGCTAAAATATCAAAAGGTGACAAAAGCCAAATAATACATTTGTTCCTCACTTTATATGAGAACATAGAACATAAAGTTTCTGTCTAAAATTTTCCAACCACCATTTAGAATTATCACATTCCTCTGTTAAAACAGCAAAATTCAAGTGAATTTTGCAACTGCAAAAACTGAGCAAAAAGATACTGAAAGCTAAAGGATAAATACACACAGATAAAACCTTAAAATTGCTCCCCAAGCAGCAGATTGCAAGGAACACAAGGGTAAATGGATAATTGAGAAATGGTAACCCTGTCTGTGAAGGATTCTGAACTCAAAAGTTGTTGAAATGGAGTAATGATAATTAAATCTTCCAGACTTTCTCCCTTTCTTCCCTTCTGTGTACATGTTTCTGTTCTGTTCACTGAGATTTAGTCTCCTGCATGATTTGAAACTTTCCTACTCCTTCCAATGTGAAAAATATATTCAATTTTAAATGAGGATGAATTTAAAAGGTTACGTTATGCCGGGTTTGTTGGGGGCATGCCTGTAATCCCAGCACTTGGGAGGGTGAGGCAGGAGGATCGCTGTGAGTTTGAGACCAGCCTGGGCTACGCAGTGAGTTCCAGGTTGGTCTCAACTACATAGTGAGACCCTGTCTCAAAAATCCAAAACAAAAAGTTATGTTATGAGAAAAATCATTTATCCACAAAAACAGAAAGTAACTTTAACTGACCCATGGAACAAAGGAAGGAAAACACGGAAGGCAGCATGACATACAAAGGAAATAAAATCAGG